GTAGTATAGGAAATAGCATTGATTAAGGTCTTTTTAACTTTTATACACAATTTTAATGAACTACAGGCTGACGGCAACAAGACGAAGTTATGCATAATAATTGAAGCATGTAAGTATTTATAGACAATGTCATAGGTAGATACTATATACATATATATAGTATGGGTAACCGTGTAAAAAATGTGAGCTACACTTCGAGTTTCCGCAATTTGTATTGGAAGTATTGAAGACCGGCATTCGAATATATATACTTTCTCATGGACACTTTTTGTGAGTACATAAAAATAAATATTCATTTTTTTTCTTACCTAACTTTTTAGTTGTTTGTTTAAATTTGCAATTAATGCAACTAATGCAACTAATTTATTTTGTATAATTTTTTTTTTCAACAATATTTCATTGCAATTTTGTTGTGCAATTAATTTTAGCGCATTAAGTTTAACTCGTAAATCACATTTATGTGCGGTAGTCAATGTGCAGTGTCGTTTCCAAAAATGGAGGAGAAGAGGTGCGGGTCTGATAACAGAAACTGATCATTAATAAAAAAACGTTATTGTACGTATACGTATATCTCAAACATCTCAAACAGTTTTGATGAATTATAACGAACAAAAACAGAGGTCAAGTTTAATGAGATATTTCTATACTAGATATGAGTATATTTTACTCTGAAGTATAGAATATTAATAGAATATATTAACGAATATAAATGCATATAAAGCATTTACAATGCATAAATTACTGTAGAAATTTGTAGTAAATGTATTTCAGACCTTAAAGAAATCTTAATTACATGTGAATACGTGCAAATGCTTATATGTCAAGCACATGTAAACCTAAAAAATGTACATTACAATTAAGTAAAATATTTTTAGAGCAGAAAAACTCAAGCAGACACAAAATACATTTAGCGTACATAAATGTTGAGTATCTCGTGTGGCAGCAAGAAATTTTTTTGCTTCAGTTTTTTTTCAGATATTTTTATGCTTTTTTATGTAATGCGGCTGCCACAATTGTGTTCAGCAGTTAAATTACGACAAACACTTAATAAACTAGAAAATGACCACTTAAACTGTTACGCTTTTATTATGTATAAAATTATTATCATTGCTTGTATTTACCATATTTGTCATCCACAGCGGCGTATGGTGGTGTTGCGTCATCATCAACAGTGGTCGCCGTACCGCCACTAGCACCATTGCTGCCGCTATTGAAACCACCGTCATTTGTGTCAACAGCTGCTGGAGCAACTTTAGCGAAAGAAATTGTAGTTGGCGGTACATGTGGTTCATCTTGTTGTTCTACAGATGCTGGTGATGTGTGTGAGGGTAACGAAAAATCAGTCTCTTTAGCTTCCGCGGGTGAGGAACCATTACCAACCCCAACCCCATCACCATCGCCATCAGCTTCGCCTGCACCACCGTCACCTGACCCATAGTCGTAGGAATTATTGAGTGTTGCATCCGGTGCGGTAGGCGATTCAGCAGCTGCGCTACCAGTAGTCATGGCTGAGGCCAAAGCAGCCAACAGCTCACTGGTAGACTTTGTCACGGGTGCAGAGAATGGTGCTGGTGACGAGAGTATCATATCGGGTGGCGGCGTCGGTATAGCTATGTTCTGAACGATTATGCTAGCGAGTATTAAAAATTTCGATATAAAGCATGCAACTGTGTGCTTTGAACGCGACATTTTGGCTTTCTCTACGAGTGCTCGACGAGTTCTTAAGTTATAGTATATATACGATATATGGTATAAATGGTATATTTAAAACTGCTATAATTTGTAAGTTCCAAAACTAACTACTTTGTCGTTTCTTTTGTTTTTTTTTTGTAAAATTTGTGCTTTTTTGTGATATTTTGTGCGTTTCGTTCAAATTTAATTTGAGCGAAGTTAAAACTTTTGCCCACTGTGCCTGAGCGGAAGTAGGACTTTGTGAGTTGTATTTGTTTATTTTATTATTTAAAATCGTATCATTTTTATTTAATTTCACTATTCATTTGTAATATTGAATATATTTTTATGAATGAGATTGTTTTTTTTTTGTTTTATAAGTTTTTATATTTTAATTATTTCGACATTTTTAAGTTTTTTCGTATCTTAACTGCAAATAGAAATAAACACTATTTTGTTAAAAAAATTTTTTTTTCATAAAAAACACTGAAGTTTCTCGCTTAATGTAAACACTCGCTCATGAGCGCCTTGTTTATTTCGGCGGACCGGCAGCGACTAAATCATGCCTCGCGCGGTAATTGATGATCCAGTAGCGCTACTGATCCATGCGCGTACTCAATGGGTGAGTCATTCAATTTCGTTTGTCTTTTATTTTGATTTTAATTTTATCACAATTTTGCTTTCGGTGTTGCTTTATTATAAAATACATTTTTATGTTCCAGCGACAGTGAAACATTTATTTTAAGCTCTGATTTTGTTATTTGTTTTAAGTGTTTTTTTTTATTAATTTATTGCACATTTTGCCGACATCTTTCGCGATGCTTCTTCTTACTGGAGTTCAAATGGGTTCAATTTGTTGGGCCACAACTGAGCCATAAAAATGCGTATTTCGTCTTAAAAACTTGTGCATTTTTGGAAGCAATTACGAGCATATGGAGGACACGTGTAGCGGAACATACATAGACGCAGGAGCGAGAATGCTAATGTTAATGGTGCATGGAGATCAATGTTCCGTAATGTAGTAAAACATTTGCATCGTTTATATAGATGAGTATGTAATTATACCAACCAACAACTATGTATATTGCCACATCTTCTAATCTTCAGCAATAATTTACTGCTGTTCTAATTTAGTTTAGTAGTTCAAGAAGCACTATAGACCTGATTAATTGATTGTTAGTTGGAATATAAAAAAATTACAATATAAAAAAAATAATCTAAAAACGTTTCACACAGAATTATGTAGAGGTCATACAAAAACATTTTTCTATACATCCAATAAAGTAAATGCAGACCTAATAATAGTTCTGACTCTAGCAACTTAAAAATAATTACAAAGAATAGACAGTTATTGAAAAGTATCCTCGAAAAGACTTAGTTTCTTCATGGCCCGTTAACAGTGATGAAGAAAAAAAATTTTTAAATATGAGAACCCTAAGGTTATATTCCAGCTATAATAAAATCTAAACCAATCTGCAGAAATATGTTAAAAATGAAAAGTTTTTCTTATCGAATTTATAACCGATCCATCCAACACCACCCGTCATATCAAAATTTTAACATATTCGACTTATATACTTTAACCGGGTTTAAGGACGTTTATTCAACAACTCCATATATTAAAAAGTAATTATTATAATTACTTTTTAAAATAAATAGTTACTCATATATATTCATTATGAGTAATTGTGAAAATTTTTGTTTATATTTTAATAATATTTTAAAAAATTAATTTTAAATCAAACATTTCGGACTACTTCGTAGGTCACATTCAGAGCCTATTAAAATTTTTTTTTTTAATATTATGTGAAAATAAATAAGCAAAAATTAACAATAAATGACAAACAAATTTTTAATATGAGAAGCTTAAGTTTTTATTTCTGTTATAGTAAAATCTATATCAATTGATGGATATATGTTAATAATAAAAAAATCGTACTTATTGAACTTATATTCGATCCATCGAATCCCTTCATTAATATAGTCGTTTTATTAAACTATATATCTATTACTTCAATAAAAAGACCTTTTATTCGTTTACAGGTATTTGCCAATGGTTTCACCATTTTTAATCAATATACATGTATCCAAGTAGTAATTAACATTAGTCGTGAGTTCAAACAAGCAATCACTCTTACGAATAACTGCTTCTACTGGATTGGTAAGCAATTTAGAAGACGCATACTATCACGACAAACAAAAATAATTCCATATACCATAAGTCGCTTATTTTACTCGTCTTATGGTATGGCTCAGAAATATTGACGGTGAAGATCACAAATAAACGATCTTCAAGTTAAGTGAATATAGATCAACTTTATAATATACCGCGAGAATGGATAAGAAAAACTTGGAACTCTATATAATTTTTATTGTGAATTCTTTTTTTGGCTTATAAAATTTGTTAGTTTCACGATTTTTCTAATTTTTTTTTTTGTTTTCTAAACGAGCAGAACGTTGTTCTGGTGTTTCATTTGTAAAGCTCGCTCGTACGAACTGTATATTGTTTTTGCATTTAATGAGTTATGTCAGTAGTTTGTCAAATGAAATATAGACAAATCATTTTTTCATCCCTTGATTTCTTTCAAGTGTACCTAACGAATTTATCTCTTCTCTTCATCCCTTGAAAGCTAAAGAATTGTTGGAGTTTCTATATTTATTAGTGAATAGTTTAAACACTTCAATTTTTAAGTGCTAGGTGATGGATCAAAAGAAAGATCTCTATGAATATCAGAGATTTTGATATACTAGACATATCTTCCTTCGGGTGATAATTCGAAACTTTTGCAGTTCTTCAATGGTGTATTTAGCTGCTTTATTAAAAGTGAAACATCCATATAGCAAAGATCGTCTGATGACTTACTTATTGTAGATAAGCATACTACTTTCCTGGATTAGCTTTTAGCTTTTGAAGAGAGGTTGAAGTAGTTTCAGTATTTAGATATATGTAAATATTTTTTTTAAATACGACATATTTATTTAAAATTTATTTATATAAATTCATTTTTACTTATATATAAATTCATTTAAGTATAAATTTTGTTTATATGGTGGGTAGGTAGGTTGGAGTGGCGGCTTTGTTTCGAAAGAGCCCACATGAGCTCAAATGATGGCCTATTGTGATATCACAGGATTAACATTGGTACGTACATAGATTTAAAACAGTATACAACCAACGCCGAAAAGGGTAACGACTCCCCATTAGGTAAAGGAAAATCAACCTGACAGTTTTATAAAGTTGATCAGGTCCCTAACATTATAGAATGACAGCTTAGTCAGGTCGATGAGAAAAGAGGATCTGAAGATTTTTAATCTTTTTTTTGTTTATATTTAAATTTAGTTACCATCAAATGCTTAATGTTATTATTATAATAGAGAACAGCGGAATATTAAATAATTTTATTAAAAGTGGTTCATAATAATTTCTCAATTAAACTTTTTCTATTAACTCAATTTCAGAACAATTGTATTAACTTGCTGCCTTCCCCTTCCTCGTACCCGTCCTCTCCCATACATTGCTTTATGCGCCACTGACAGAGAAATTGTGACATATTTAATGTATTTCAATTACTTTTCGACATGTTAGCGAAAAAATATGAAAAATATTCGAAAAAGAAATAAATGGATAAATATAATAAAAGTTGTTAAATACGCAAAAAGACGAAGACAAGTAAAAGATTCTAAAATTGGTCAATCAAGTGACAATTGTCGGTTTGACAAAAGTGTAGAAGTAAACAATGTCGTGCGTAAAGCACTGAGGAGATACGTTCGCTGCTTTGCTTGTATCGAAGAAACGGAAGCAGGTCAGTGACATCTGAAAATCGTTAGCAAATTGATTTAAATCGATGTCAATATATATCAGCTTTGGTTTGACAAATTGACTGACATCTCGATATTTGATAATAGAAATCTAATTGAATTAAAGCCAATTGAAAATACGAGAAAAATTGCCAACAGACAGAAAAGTCATTGCAATTTGTTTCGGGAAGAGTGAAAGACACTTCTTCTGGGGTTTGGTTGGAGAAGGAGGAAGAAATTTATTTCAATTGGCAAGTGTAATAATTTATACACTTTTCTATTATAATAAATGTAAATTATTGTTTAAACTAATAAATAAATTTATTTACTGCACAGAGATAGACAATTTAAATGGAAACCAAACCAATTTATGTAAACAAGTTATTTAACGGAAACTGTGATAAAATTAAGAGTGAATGAATGGCATTAATGGCTTTATTAAACGCATAAAAATATGAAAACGTAGAAAATATATGAGAAGAAAGAAACATTTTTTCAATAACAGAAAAAAAAATAGATAAGTTACTAATCTGAGATATGATAGAGTATATAGCGACTTTAAGCATTTGCTATGATAAGACCATTACTCTTCATTGCTAGATAATGCATGAAGAAAAAAAAAAGAATTTTAACTCAACTGATCTTTAGCGGATCATGCAAGATCGTAATTTAATGCATTTTTTATAGTTAAAATATAAAAGTTTCTATATTGAAAATTGTTTAAATTAGTAAAAGACCGATTGTAGCGCAAGACGTTAACTATTTACCACAGAGAATGTGCTTTTATGTATTTTTTGACACAATTTTGACGCAGCATTTATTAGCATATTTTCAACTTTGCGGTTATTAGATTTGGAATAAATCGGCAGTATTGTTCCCAGCCAATTTGTTTGTGGTTTTTGTTTTGGTTGTTGAAATTCAGTTTTTAAAATGTAAATTAATTCAATTTTATCGTTTGTTTTGATACTTGAAAATAAGTTAACTAAGCTTTTTAAACTGTTAGTTTGAGTGAGAAAAAAAAACTCAATAAAAATAAACCAAAAATAAAAATAAATAATATATTTGATATCAGAATTGAAATTTAAAAAAATATCAATTAACGAATTATCAATGTATTAATTTTTTTTTGTTTATAAAGTGGTTCACATTAGTAGAACTTCCTGAATAAATACGCACAGCTAATTAAAGTTTTAAAAATACGATACAATACAATATAATTTATTTTTAGAGTAACAAATACAAACTCAGAATGTACATATAAAGAGAGTATAAGAGATTATATATATAAAAAAAATTTATCATTATTTAAAAAAAGCACAAAAAACAGGTATATATAATTAAACGATAAATGCCAGTGGCAATATTTCTCATGAAAGACGGACCAACTTAGGTCCCAAGAAGTGGGAGTTACTTAAGAGTTTAAAATAATTCATTTCTTAAGAAAACACAACATAATATTGTCGTACTTCTATTAGTAGTACTAATATTTTTTCCAAAAACTTTGTTTGATTTGCAGTATTCTAAAATCTACCAACTGATAATATAAGCAAGAAAAACAGAAAAAAAATACCACTTCTAAAAGTAACTGAGAATTACAATTTCGTAACTACATTCAATTCAGTAACAGATTCAGAAGTGAAAACGTAGGACACTCTATTAAATCATGATTATTTAAAGATACTTTAATATGGATGTAATAGAAATTAGCACAAAATTCTTTCCAACTGCATTTAGCTCAAGAAACCCACAATTATTGCAGTGTCCGCTGAAAATTGAAAAACTATTTCGACTTAAATAGATGTTTTAACCTAAAGTTCAGTGTCCTGTTAGTAATAAATAGTTTTTATAGAGTATATAATCTGTTTTTGATTGACAAAACTACTGTCACGTATAGTTGGTTTATCAACTAATGACCTATGGCATTACTTCAGACATTTCTTTAATTTCAATATAAAATTTAATATGAATGTAAGTAAACTGAAAAAATAACGCAAAATATATTCATTAGTAATCACTGATACAGACTGTAGATTTATTGAAGTGAGTGTGACATCTTATATAAAGATTGCAGAACTTGAGATAGTGGATATAAGCTCTTAAAGATTTTTGATAGCATATCAAAATGACATGAATAAAACTGACATTTTATATAAATATTGCAGAACTTCAGATAGTGGGTATTAGGTCTTAAGGATTCATGAAATCTTTAAGATTTCTTTTATCGAAATACGATATGAATAAGACTGTCTTTCAGAATTTTACATAGATCTATATTTTAAGAACGATCTAAAGAAATTTATAGTTAAAAAGTGAATAGATATTTATGAACTAAATTGTAGTTAATGATTGCTTTCAAGTTAAAAAGTAAGTATAAACAATTGAGAATAGTGGGAATAAATTGCAAAAATTATCCAATGAAGTACTTAGTAAGTAAAGCAAGTGAGACGCATTTAAAGCCTATCAGTAAATATCTAGAATAAAAGTAAGATACTAGAATAAAAGTATATTGAATCGGAAGATTTAGATTAAGTTGTGACAATTAGTATGGGAGTGTTTTAAAAAACACATTTGTTTTAAAAAACACATTTGTTTTAAAAAACACATTTATTTTTAATAAATACAGGCGAATCTTATGCAATTATAATTAAATAAGATTGTTTCTTCGACTGAAGGCAGATTCTTTTTTAAAGTTTGGCATAGTAAAAGTTTGCTTGAACTAATACCATAAGAGAAAACTATTAAAATAGAATAAGTTTTACTTTTTGTTTAATTTTCTTTATATAAAGATACAATACAACTCTTATCACATGACATTGGAATTTTAATTATGCAGGATTATGGCATACAATAGGCCACACCCAAATATAAAATATCTTTTAAAATTAGTAAAAATTAATTAAAACATAAAGAAAACCGAAAGGTCCGAATTTTGTTGTCAATATTAATTTATTTTTAATATTAAACAATATTACTAATAGTGTACATTTTTATAAGCTGTGAGCTAAGGGCATTGACCTTTATTGTATCTCTTAAATTTTAGATATATTTTTGTGGACCACAAATACAAGATAATATATATGTATATCAAAATAATGCTTAAATATCCGATTTTAATTTAAAATAATAAAAATATTTAATTTGTTTTTTCAAAAAAATTTTAATGAAACGCAAATAAAAGGATTTAAATAGATATCTGCAAAAAGTAAACTATGTCAAAGGTCGTGCATCCTTGCGTGCAATCACTGCGCACATTTGCGTGGGTAATTGTCAATGGTAAGACCACAAAAGGCGTTTGCCTAAAATTAGTGTCAAATAACTGTCAGATAAAAGTCGAACACAAATATGCCAATGAATTAATACAAAAGAAGCAAATGACCAGAAATTGA